TATAATATAAAATTTAATTTAATTTAATTAAAGGATATAAAAAGTAATGGATACTTTAAGAATAACGTGGCAAAAGAACAGAAATTTTAAGATTACATAACATCCACATTATTTATTAAATAAAATCCAGCCTCACTCTACACTTTCATTGTCGACCACTTTTTTTCGGCCACCGTCCTCCTTTTTTTGCCAACAAATCAATTGCCATCTAAACTCCTCCATTTATGTTTATTATCAATTTCTTTGTCTTAAGAAAGAATAAAACCCACAAAAACCCATCATAGATTTATTATAAATATTCTCCTGTTTATCAGTTTGCAACAGTTTCCATTCATAAGCTTTAAAACCGCTCAGAAGAGACAAATCTTCACATCTAAAAAAGCTTTTAGTGTTGTGGAAGAAAGAACCAAAGGAGAAGTATTGTTGGATTTACTAATAGAGACCATAGAAGGGGAAGGGGAAGGGGATGATGGAGTTGAACTCCACAAAAATATTACCATGAGGTAAAAATATATTTTGAGATCTTACTAGGCGTCATGCATAACACTTGTTATTGATTATGTGGTTTTCAGGTCTCACTAGTGGCGGATCTAAGAGCGCCTGAGAGCTTGGATGCTGCTACCTAGAAGCATCATTTCGGAAGTACTTGAGTAAGAATTGAATTTTTGAAGGCATAGTAACATCCGACTATCTAGTTTACTAGGGATTTGATTATTAGGTTGTTATTTATGTTTCGGTTCTCGAATATTGTACTTGTTTAGCGAACTTGAACTTTCTCTTTAAGAGTTTAAGCCGCTTTATGTTTAGGGAAATTTAAAGTTGTATGGAAGGTATTTTCTCATTTTAAATTTGAGGGTGTTTTATATTCATTAAGAATAGTTAAATCACCAATAGTAACTAATAAATATCAACTCAAGTCTTCAAACTTTTGTAAGCAGTGATTTATGAGGCTTTTTTATTTATTTTTTAAATCATCCAATTAGTTATTTAATATAAATCATATAAATCCTACAACAAGGTATTTTGCATTTTAAGGAATCTAAGGTTTTGTGTGTGATATGAAAAATTATTCAAACCACGTATGTGATTTGCTTTACATCAGTAGGACACCACACCACAAACACCACTAAGGGTCTGTTTGTTGGCAATTTAATGAGCTTAATGGGACTTACAGGTAGTGGCTTAATGATATATAAAGTAGCTTATTCAGTAAGTTTTTAGAAGAAAACTTTATGCATAAAGCCAAGTTTTTAAAAAAAACATATTCCAACTAAAAGAACTCTCGTAAACGGAAAACATTGTTAATCTATACAGACAGATTAATCCACACAAACAACTTTATACACACAGATAATAGAAAACGAAGCAAAGATTTCATTAACTCCATGTAAACATAACAGATACAACTCTTTGATATTATTCTCACTTTGTCATTTAAAGCGCTTTTGTTGTTTTAACTTGTTATGTTTTTATATGCTGTGAAATTTTATATCTTATTAATGATCTATATATAGTTTAGTACGGGTGTAACAGAGCTTTCAAAAAGATTAGGACGACTATGATAGTTGCATAGTAAAATTCCGTTCATCAACTAAACTTGTATTAGCAGCAATAGTTTTAAATTATACTAAACAATCCAGATTAGAATAATAAATTAAATGATACCCCTATAATTGTTTTTGTTACATCTTGTGAATTGGTAATGACATGCATTTTTGGTCATTAAACCGGTGACTAGAAAGTTATATTTGCAAGTCATCACCTCTAACAAAAACATAGCGTAACATGATCCGACTTTAAGATCGATTTTACTTTGATTATTGTTTAAGAGAGGTGTTTTATAATTGTTATATATTTTGAACATTTAATCTTTAAAATATTTATAAACTGTCATATAAATTAATTTGTCCCTATATTTAAGATATGCATAATCTCCTTATAGCATTAATCACTTTATTTCATCTACTAACAAATGCTATACGAATATAAAAAACGAATTCTAGCTAAAGTGGATGCTAAGACATGTCCTTTTGCACATTAAATGATGTCTTTAGATGGTTGCTCATGGGTTACTGTGTCCATTGAAATAAAGCTTGCAGGAGTGCAAACTATAGGAGACACGACCCCTATAGTTTGCACTTGTGTATTATGGCAATTTGATACAACTCTTTGTGTCGGATTGGCAGCTCCTATGTTGATCTGCTCGAGTGTGATGCCTGCACAACTATTAGGATTTTTGCTACACAAAATGTTGATTGCATTAGGTTTYGAAGAAGWCCCATGGATGTCTTTGAAGGTAACATCGCTTACATGAACCATGCGTGCCTGTTGAAGAAAAATAAATTACAAGAATTCCATTGATACACACCTTTATGATAATGATGATGATGATAATAAATAATCATAGTAGTATAATGATAATAATAAAACATAAGACATAAGACATAAAAAGACATACAATGTCATTGCATTGTTTATGCGGGCAGTAAAATTGAGTGAGTATGATGGGGTTTTCAACGGCCACYATTGTTATGTTACTAAATGTGATATCGTCCGCCAAACCCGACCCTCCCTGAAAGACATTGAAAAATTAGAGTACTTGGATTAGATAACGACTAAGACATATATAAATGGTAAAAGCAAAAATGTATTTAATTACATTTTGAACTAAACGGAGAATATAAG